ACTCCTCGGAAGGAAGATGGGGCAATCTACTTCCGTAGTGATACTGCCTCGAAACCCAAGGAGGGGTCGCTATGAGTCGGGTCCAACTCGACAGCACATAACAACAACAACAACAATTCCTAGTCAGCCACCAATATGCTTACCATTGTTATATTTTCTCTATACTTTTCTTTTTGTTTGCGTGCAGGGAAAAGTTTTCCATATGTATTCACTCTATCATCTTAACTAAAATTCCCCTCTATAACCAAAAAACCAAACTCACTGCCGTTGAGTCAAATCTGACTCATAGCAACCCCTCCTTGGGTTCCTGATGTGGTATCTCTACGGAAGCAGATTGCCCAATCTTCCTTCCAAGGAGTGCTGGTGGGTTTGAACTGCCAGCCTTCTGGTTAATAGGCAAATGCCTTAGGCACTATGCCACCTAAAACAACTACAGTACTATTCTAAAACAGTAAAATCCAGAAAATCTTTTTAGAAGATTTTCTTATGATAAACAAACAGAATCTGGAAGAATAATCAACTCTCATTTCACAACTTTTTAATGAAGAATACTTTTTTGAGGCATTTTCCTTTTCTAGTTATCATTATTCTCCCAAATACTTACGGCTCACAAGAAGTTTTCGGCCAATGGGTTCAATTTTCAATTCCTGTGTCACAGGATTATAAACTGCACATTTATATGATCCCTTGTCTTCTAAGGATACATTCAAAATCTGAAGATTTCCTGATGGAAGGATTAAGTAATTACCTGAGGAAGGAAGGGGAGTACAGTTAAGCCTCTCCCCTTAGTGAAGGATACCACAATACAACTATAAACTAACAATGGTTGATAGTTAGGTTTTAAATTTAGATGTAAGACCAGGAGCAAACAAGCAATTAAGGAAAATTCACAAGATGAAGCAACACAAAAAGCAGAAAAGGAGTCAACAGTACTTAAGTAACAAAATCAAATCCAACATAAACATTTTAACACAAAATCACTCATTCAGAATACTGAAAACAGAAGAAACATGCTTAGGCAAAGATACAACATCCACCCTACCCAAAAAAAAATCCCAAACCCACGGCCATTGAATTGATTCCAACTCATGATGATTCTGTGCATTACAGAGTAGAACTGCGCCACAGGGTTTTCTCAGCAGTAACCTTAATGGAATGGAATCCCTGGGTAATGCAAATTGTTAAGCACTGTTACTAAACAAAAGGTTGGTGGTTAGAACCCACTCAGAGGTGCCTTAGAATAAAGTCCTGAAATCTGCTTCTGAAAGGTCACAGCCATGAAAACCCTACAGAACAGAGTTCTACTCAGTAACACGTGTAGTCACTATGAGCAGAAATAGATGCAACAGCAAACTGCCAGAATCTTAATGGAACTAGATTTAGTTGGAGAGGACAAACCATTTGAACTACCAGGGACCACCTTATCACCTTAAACAAACCTGTCCCTATAACACTGATCACGTGGCATTCATTCATTCGTTGTTTAGTCATTCCTCTTTTTTTCACCAAATGTATTGAGTGCCTATTTTCTGTCAGACAATGGCTGAGGCACAAGTGACAGCAACGAACAAAGCACTCATGTAGCTTATATCCCAGTGCAGGACAGGGGGAGTGGCAGAGGCAAGGGTAAGTAATAGACAGCATCAGGTGTGATAAATTCTCTGAAGACAAGCAAAGTTGAATCAAGGGGACAAAGAGTGGCAAGGCATATTATTTTAGGCAGGGACATCAGGGAGGTTTTCTCTAAGGACTACCTGATACCTGAGCAGAGACCTGAATGACTCAAGGATAAAGCCCTAAAGGTACTGAATTAGAATCATTTGTATATTGTGACCTTTTGTTTTAGTCTCTTCTACTTGGCTTCCTAAGAGCAAAGACAATATACCTTGTTTATTTCTGTATCAACACTGCCTGCCACACAGAACTTAACAGTAGGCTGCTGCTTCTGCATGTCATTGGCTTTTAAAAAAACATCTTACCTGTGGAACGTTTCAGCCATTTCCCCCGGATTTTATAGCGCACCTCAGCTTTGGGGTTACTATCTGGTACGTTGCAACCAATGAAACCAGTACTTTTTTCTTCTGCCATAATAACATTCTTTGTTGATGAACCAAAATCACCAAGAACTAAAATAAAATTTAAGCACATAAGTAAGTAAGTAAATAAATGCAAATTTAGCATAGTGGCTAAGGCACTTGACTGCTAACCAGAAGGCTGGCGGTTCAAACCCATCAGCCACTCCTCGGAAGGAAGGTTGGGCAATCCTACTTCCGTAGTGATACTGCCTCGGAAACCCAAGGAGGGGTCGCTATGAGTCAGGGCTGACTCATAACAACAACAACAATAAAGGAAACTAAAAAATTAGAAACAACATGGCCTTTTGTGGCAGCTCATGCCAGTCCAAGGAATAGCATGATCTTTCATCTCAGAAAGTAGTTGGGGCAGGAACGTGTGGCTGAGGACTGAGAGCTGAGTCATGGTACCCTTTCCCAGAAGTCATTGCTTCCAAGGGACTATAAGAAAAACACACTGCTCTTAAAACTTTACCAAAAAAAAAAGATTAAAAAATAAAAACCATTAAGTAGAACTACTAAGCATAATTATTCCCATTCTGTCAAGATAAATCCTTTTCAATCCAGTACCTCATGACATCCCTCTTCCTAAGCATTGTTGTTCTGTTTGTAGCTATTCATACTGCCATAGGACATGAAAAAACAAAATAGTAATGTTGTTTCAATTATCTAAGTATATTAATTCTGGATCTCAATTCCTCTCAGTTTAAGCTCACTATAGATGGAGGAAGCATGGAAGGAAGGGCTCTTTATCATCTCCAATGCAGAGAGCACTCAGCAGCTGCCACTAGGAATCCAGCCCTCCAGTGTGTGTCTTGGAGCTGTCCATGGGTCACAGCTCTGCAAAAACATTTACTCTTCTCAGTTATGACAAACTCACTACTCCTGGGGAATCCAGATTTGTTCTGTAAATAGGGGTACCCTTACAAAGAAGTTTTCCATTACTGGAAGCCATCACCATTTGAAAGGCAGATGGCTCACGCTTACTAAGAAAACCACTCACTCCAGATTTTCTATAAGTTCAATTCTCCACATTCCTCTCCTTACAGTCATTTTTTTTTTTTCCTGATGCTTTAGCCTGGTTTCAATTATGTAAATTAAAATCATTCTGTAATCAAGGGAAATAAAACAATTAGATGTGAAAGAAAGATAAAGAACTGCATGAACTAGCTCAGTGTCAGACAACAATTTAACAACAGTTAGGGGTCTTTAAAAACTCACAAAGAAATTACGAAGAATTCACATTAGAAAACTCCTTACTGTTGCTATGTTATGTTATGTTATTTGCCGTCGAGTCAGCCCCGACTCATAGCGACACCTCCTTGGGTTTCCGAGGCAGTATCACTATGGAAGTAGGATTGCCCAACCTTCCTTCTGAGGAGTGGCTGGTGGGTTTATAGC